TAGTACCATAAAATGACAATATTACAGCTTCCTGAACATAACACCAGTAGCACAGACAGTGAGATCAACAATTAATAAATGGGACCTACTGAAACTGAGAAGCTTCTGTAAGGCAAAGGACACAGTCAGCAAGACAAAAAGGCAGCCCACAGAATGGGAAAAAATATTCACTAATCCCACATCTGACAGAGGGTTGATCTCCAAAATTTACAAAGAACTCAAGAAGCAAGTCTCCAAAACAGCAAAGGACCCAATTAAAAAGTGGGCTGCAGAACTAAATAGAGAGTTTTCAATAGAGGAGTCTAAAATGGCTGAGAGGCACTTGAGAAAGTGCTCAACATCCTTAGCCATCCGGGAAATGCAAATCAAAACAACTCTGAGATACCATCTCACTCCTGTCAGAATGGCTAAAATCAAAAACACCAATGACAATTTATGCTGGAGAGGATGTGGTGAAAGGGGAACACTCCTCCATTGCTGGTGGGAGTGCCAACTGGTTCAGCCACTTTGGAAATCAGTATGGAGATTCCTCAGAAAAATAGGAATAAACCTACAACAAGACCCAGCAACTCCACTCTTAGGCATATATCCAAAAGATGCCCATTCATACAACAAAGATGTCTGTTCCACTATGTTCATAGCAGCTTTATATTTGTAATAGCCAGAACTTGGAAGCAACCTAGATGTCCCTCAACCGAAGAGTGGATAGAGAAAATGTGGTACATCTACACAATGGAGTACTATTCAGCAGAAAAAAATAATGGAATCATGAGATTCGCAGGCAAATGGATGACACTAGAAGAAACCATCCTGAGTGAGGTAACCCAGTCACAAAAAGAGAAACATGGCATGTACTCTCTCATATATGGATTTTAGACATAGATCTGGGGAGTGCCAGCCTACAATCCTATGGCCAGAGAGTCTGGGAAACAGAAACTTCATTTAGTGGCTGGTTAAGTACTGAGCTGAACTCAAGAAAGCCAGTAACAGAGAGGGAGGACTGATGGTCAAAGGGATTAAGACTGGGCTGGTTTAACCCCCAGAAACAGCTGACCAGACAAAGGTTAACTCTTGAATCCCAGGCATCAGCCTGGGAATCCAGCATGGGACTGATCAATACCCCCTGAATTTGGGTGTCAGTGAGGAGGCCTAGGGAACCTATTGAGCCTTGGGCAGCAGATCAGTACCCATCCCAAGTATACACACGGACTTTGGACTCCCATAGAACAATGTGAGGTGCACTCTCACCCTGAACTCTTGGGGAAGGGTCTAGGCCCTGCCCTATATGAAATGACAGACTATGGACACCCCCATGGAGGGCATCACCCTCCCTGGGGGAATGAGGGGATAACGGGGGGGGTGGGGGGAGGGCACCGGAGGAGGGGAGGGAATGGGAGCAGGACCTGGAACTGACTTGTGAAGCAACCTCGTTTCTTATCTAAATTTAAACTGGAAAAAAAAGAAAGTTATTTGGATGCATGTTAAACATTAACGTAATTTTTGAAAGGTTATATCTGATTTTTTTTTACCAAAATAAATCTGGAGAAAAAAATTTTTAAACCTAAAAAAAAAAAAAGAAGTGTATAGATTCAATGCAACTCACATCAGAATCTGATGCTATTCTTTAAAGAACTAGTGAAAAAAAAATAATCTGAGAGTCCACATGGAATAACAAAAACTACAGTCAAAGCAATCCTAAGGAGGAAAGCACAGCTGGAGGTATTGTGGTTATGACTTCGAATAATACTATAGAGACACAGTGACAAATACAGCAAACAACTCAGACAGGAAGACCAATGGATCAGAACAAAGACACCAACAAAGGTGTCAAAATATGCAGCTGAAAAAAAGACACCGCTCAAAAGAGTGGTGATGGCTAAACTGGTTATCTTCCTGTAGACTCTTCAGATCCATTTCCTTCACCCTGTACAAAAACTGGCTAGGAGGAGTGACTCAAAGACCTTAATTTAATAGATAAAACATTGGAACTGCTAGAGGAAAATGTAGGGAATACATTTCAAGATAAATGTTTAGGTAAGAACTTTCTGAACAGATCTCTAATAGTGCAAGAATCAGCTCCATGAACCAACAGATGGAACCACATAAAATTTAAGTTTCTGCACAGCAAAAGGAAATTATCAGCCAAGGAAACAGACAGCCTACAGAATAGAAGATCTTTAACAGCTATACTTCAAATGGGGAGCTAATATCAGAATTTACAGAGTGAAAACTAAAGAATAAAAAAAACCTGTCAATCAATAAATAGGCTATTAAATGAACAGTTCTCAAAAGAAGAAACACAAATGGCCAACAAGTATTTTTTAAAAAGTGTTCCTGATACCCTTAGTCATCGGGGGAATTGCAAATTAAAGTCACTCTGAGATAGCATCTCATCCTACTCAGAATGGCTATCATCAAGCAATCTCACAACAGATACTCATGAGGTAGCAGACAAAGAATTCACTGCCGGTGGGAGTTCAAACAATTATGGTCATTATGGAAATGAACACGGAAGTTTCTCAAAATATCTGAATAAAGAACTATTGCGTAACCCAACTATACTATAACTCTTAAATATATATCCAAGTGATCGCGTATCCCTACCACAGACACTTGAGCATCCATGTTTCTACTGCACTACTCACAAGAGCAAGGAAATGGAACCAGCCTAAATGAAGAATGAATAGATAATGAAAACATGGTATGTATACACAATAGGATTTTATTCAGTTGCAAAATATAAAACAATGAAGCTTGCAGGAAAATCGATGGTTCGGGAGAGACAAAAAGACACATTTTCTTTTGCAAACTCAGATCATAGTATGGTTTGTGTATGTGGTGGGGTATTTGGGTATAAAGGTGAGTAAAGCCTAAAATGCTAAAAAAAAAAAAAAAAAAGAGATCAAGAAATGATGAAAATAGGTGACCGGAAAATATGGTGAGTAGGCAAAAGAACACAGGGGACATGAAAAAAACCAAGAGACTGAGGGAGTAGTTATCAGGGGTAATAGGGTAGGGATATGAGAGGACAAAAGAATCTACAAAAACACACCTTGAAAATGCCAGGGTGATATTTAATATCTTGTATGCTAATTTAAAAAGTAAAAAAACCCACAATTTTTAAAAAGGGAAAATGTTGCAAAACAATGGCACCAAATCACAGAAATAATGCCACTCACATTGCTGACAATAGTGTAAAGAACACCAACTCTGCAAACCTACTCGCGGTTTCCTTAAAAACTAGGCACACATTTAATGGGTAATCCCAAACTGAAAATAGTAACAGTGTCTTGCAGAGGTGAATGATTAAACAGGCTATGAGAATTCCACAGAAAACACACTGGGTTAATATTCGCGTCATGAACACGTGTTACATTGTCAAAGGAGCAAACAAATAAACCCAGTCAAACAGAAGAAAGCCTTTGTCTTAAGGACATCATGCTTAGTGGGTACACCTTAGAATATCAACTGTTAACAATTTCATTGATGCATTTTTTATTGAATTGACCAATGGATGTGTGCATAGTGTGCACAGTCTGAACATTAGCGTCTGCTAGTCAGGAGTAACTGAAAGTATGGTGAGTGCCTGGAGGGTTAGCAGTGGAATGTTATGCTGATAAGACCAGCTCCAAACAGCAACCACAATGGTAGTTAGCCAAGTATGATGAAATAATAGAAAACCTTCGGTACACAGGACAGCTGTGGACTTCCTGGTTCTGATAGCACGGCACAGCTCCATAATATGCAACCACTGGGAGAGAGGATGAATTAGGGGTATACAGAACATCTCTGTCTCTGATTCTTCCCATATATATGAATGGTATGTGTGTGTGTCTTTTTAAAAAATAGGTACAAAGTCAGAAACTTCAAGCTTCCAGTAGAATTTCTACATTCCCTACAACAAAATTTTCTCATCTTAATGGCACAAAACAAAGCTTGTCTTTCAGTTCGGTGGGGGCTATTTTGAAAACAGGATACGACAGTTATACACAAAATGACTCTATCTCCATCTCAGATGCTGCGACTCCCTTCCCACTCACCTCTATTCCATTTCTTGCTTTTTCACTCTCAAACTCATGGGTTTTTATCAATTTTCTTCTCAGTGACCCACATTGCCTTGAAAGTCACTGTTCCTATGTCTGTCTGGCCCTTTTACTCCCATGAACCTATCCACTCTCTCAGAAAACCTCCAACTAGGTATTGGATGACCTCTTCCTGTGCACACTGCTGATGGAACAGACTGTCCTGAAAGGCAGACATTTAAAAAGAAAGCTCTTTAACCTAAATTGACATCAGTCCCAAAGTAACAGTATATGTGAGATTCTGAGCAGAAGATCTTCCAAGTTCTTCTTGCCTCCTAAGTCATTCCTTCCTTTCCCAAAAGGCTTCCAGGCAGCAAGATGAAAACATGCAGAATAAACATCCCAGAAAACAAGATTTTCACCCTTATTTTAGAGACATGCAGCTTGGTCTCAGTGAAGACACAAGACATGGGTGAGCAGTGAGTCCTGAACTGGTTGTGTAACTCAGACTGCCTGATCTCTAATCCTATGTCAGAATATTTAATCAAGCTAATCCCCTCCCCCTATTCTGCTAGCAGACATTTTGTATTTTTAAAAGCAGGAACAGATGGAAAGTAGCTGACCTAATTCAGCCGTCCTGATCCCACCCAGAGCTAGTTCTGAAAGTGTCATCAACCCCGAGATCAGTAATACATCTGGTGGTTTAAATAGAGCTCAAGATGCACTCTTTAAAACTGTTAGGATTCCTGTATGTACTAAAAAAAAAAAACAAGCCAGCACAGCAAAAAATATAAAAGATAGTGTTTACTTCAAGTAACAGCACTGCTGTCCACAACTCACCAACTCATTCATGAAAAGAGCCTCTTTCCATGGACTCTATCACCAAGACTGAATTCAATTCCATTAGGTTGGGTCCCCATTTCCCCAGTGTGCTGGCAAAGGGAACAAGGCTGGCCACTCCGGAAACAGCATGATTACCTAATTTGCAACCTCCTTTCTCCTTCTCGTCCCCTGCAGGGGTAGGAGTAGTGTGGTAAGAACAGTCTGATCCTGGGTCAGGGTTCAAGTCTATAAGACCACAAAAAGATGAAATAACCAGGAGGAACTATACAAATTAATCAAATAATTAAAAAGTAAAAAAGCACGTTTTTTGCAAAAGTTTAGTTTGGTTTGGTGATATGGGGTCATGCCATGGAGCTCTGGGTTGTCTGGAACTCATTATATAGTCCAGGCTTGCCTCAAATTTGCAGCCATCCTTCTGCTGTCGCCTCTATAGTGCTGAGATTAGTCTTGGGCTACCACATTCAAGGTGAAGTACATTTGATGACAACAAACAGAACCTCCTATTACCTCAATAGAAGAGTCCTAAGACCAAGAGGGGGAGCCACACAACATACAAGAGAAGAAAAAGCAAGTGGATTTTTCTGGGAAGAGCAGAGAAGTAGGCAAGACAGAGCTCCTGGAAGCCACCAACCAATATGTCAGCATTTATTAAAAGTCAGCTCTTTGGTTCAAAGGAATTTCTGTTTCACTTCTCTTCTTTCTTCCTGCCACTTTCTGTTGTTTTTGAAAAGAAGTCTCCTGTTACCCAGGCTGGCCTCAAACCTGTTATATAGCTGAGGCTGGCCTTGCTCCTGGGCGATGGGCTAACAGCTGTGAGCCAAGCCATCTGGTTACTACTGTGCTCTCTTTCTATAGGGTCAGTTTCATCAGGACACAGGAGGCCGTTAGGTGAGTCCTGCTGTTTTACTCAGTTTGCTTTCGCCTGCTCTAATAGTACCGGGAGTAGATGATCTATAAGCTGCTTAATTTTGTTCTTAGTTCTGGGACTGAGAGGCTCCACAGCATGATGTTGGTACCTTCCCAAGCTCTGGTAAGGGTGTCTGTGCTTTCACGCAACACAGTGGAAGGACAGGATAAAAAGTGAGTGTGTGTATGGGAAAGGGGAAAAAACCAAGACTGTCTGATGATAAACCCACCCACCCGAGAAATGCCTTAATCTCGTTGTGGCTTCTGCAAGGTCCCACCTCAAAGTACTCTCACAGTGGCAATTGTTTTTCAACACAAGTTTCAGAACAGGCAAACTGCATCACTTACCCACACGGTATTTCAGCTCTATCACTGTTTTGCCTTCTCTGGATAACTCTGTAACTTCACACGTGTAGTTTCCCACGACAGCTTGCTGCCTATCCATTTTCAAAGAGGCAACGCCTTTCAGTAAGTCTGAAAGTGAGATTTTTGCACTGGAAAAGTTAGTCTCTACAGAAGAGTTGTTTTTACTTCCATCATAGATGAAAATATATGTCTTGTTTAACTTCCACTTCACATACATTTCTTCAGTGCTTTGTGCCTCCACATTGAGGACAACACAAGGGATGACGACAGTTTCATTGCACGTAGTGAATTCTGCAGATTTGACCTTGCTAAACAGTAGTTGAGCTGAACCTGGAAAAAAGATGCAAAAAAATTTCATTATAATCTGCATATATGATATATTATCTTAGGTGTATTACAAGCCCTTAAGCTAAAGAAAAATACTTCAATTGTTCATTAAACAAGCAATATAGGAACAAAGTGAAAAACAGCAATAAATTATTTGTATACCAGCTAGCAGACTGCAAGTTCTTTATTCAGTCCTAGTAATACAAGGTATACATTACTGTCCATCTTGGGAATAAATTCACCAACTGTGTTGGAAAATGCAAGGTATAATATCTAGCTTTGAAAGCTCTGAAGTCATCACATCTGCTTACTGATATATGTAGGAAAATACTTTCCTTAATATGGAAACATTCTGAACAAAAAGCCAAGTATTATATTTGGGCTCAACTTCTATACACTTCTTCTAGATGGAACTTGCTAAAGTGATATGAAATTTATCTCTACACTCAGGCTGCATAACCAAAAAAAAAGTGGCCAGCTCTATTATACTTTAATATACAAAGCAACTCGAATGAATCAAATCTTATCTTTCCAAGAGGATGGAAAGTCTTAGAATACTAACGAGAAAAAAATGTTCTCGGTGGCTATTTCCCACTGCAAAAGAGAGCGTGATAGACATTTTGTATGCAAGTCTCAGAAAGGATTACACACAATTGAATGGCATTTTTCCTACCCTGACATTTCATTGAATCTACAGGACAATTTTGAAATGTAGATTATAGGTATTTCTTCTTCCAATAAACCATAAACTACTCAAAAGCCAAGAAAGAAGAAACCAGGAGCAGATGCTGCTAAAGAGTAGAGCATACTCATTGGCTCTTCTTAATGGCATAAGCCATGAGTAGCAGACTTACTTACCATGGGTACCTGAGTGACTAGAGTAAATGCAAGGCTCACCATTCAACTCAAACTACAAGATGCAGAGATACTCCAGCTGTATTGTATAACTTGGCCATTTATCCAAGCTCTTATCTAAGTACTTGTTGACGTTTCTTTCAAAACTCAAGGTACCAAGGAATGTAAAACATTAACTCCATTAATCTTTACTACTTCCTCCTTCTATGTAAACTAGAAATAAAATCAAGGGCACAAGATGTTACTGTAAGAGTTTGATTATTAATAAAAACCCATCAAGTAGAATATAAGGACATATACCAGAATACAATCTGGACTGTGTTCAAGAAGACTCAAGCCCAAACCCCCTGCCTGGCACTCTGGAGAGTAGTCTTAAGTAATTCATTTTTCTAGAGCATGGTTTAATAAAGAGGATCAGAGCAAACGGCGGGTGGCTAGCTCTAGGACACTGGGGAGCACCACAGGAGAAAATGTCTTAGAAGTGCTCCCTAAGAAATACTATGATGCACAAACACAGGGTAATAGCATGATACTGGAGACTGTGTGCCATCTACTGTCAGGAGCTGGGCCTTCTGAATGCTCTTGGGAATGTGCCACTTGAAGCAGCCTTGGGGCATCCAGGCTTACTTTTCCCAGTTCTCTAAACTTTTAGCCACCCACATATTAGGAAGCCCCAGGCAAAACCTGAGTGGCCAATTATGTTTTCTACACCCTTAGAATTTTGAGTTATTTCCCTGGAGAAAGAGCCACTGAAGACAAGGACCATATTGAACAAGAGTGATTGGGGAGGAGGGGTGATGTCACAACTACAAAGAAAGGCAAGGATCAGAAAACACCTGTGAAGACTTTGAAAGGGACAGAGGGTTCCCAGAGGGTCCTGTCAGTGGCTGCTGGGCACTACCTAGCAGATCTTCTGCAATCATCAGATTCTAGATGGGCTCTGCTACTACTGACTTCAACTTGGGTATCTACAACTGTGTAGAGGGTCATGAACAAGATTTTTCTACAGAGATAGAAATCTGTTTTGTAAGCATGGAGGAAGGTTCCAAACAACATCACTTAAAAAAAACCTGAAGATACCAACCAATTTTGTATCCATTAATAAATTCTTTTAGCATTCTTGCTTGCCTATAAATGTGTCTGCTCTACCAATTTGCCTTCAAAAGTGATAGTCTACTTTCTGATTTGTTCTTTAAGGATTAAAATTAAAATTTTGATTTGTATCCATTTTATAGCAGCATGAATCATTTCAAACTTTAAAAATTATAGTCGCATGAGTCATTTAAAAATTATTCTTCTCTGGAAAACACAAGTGGATGGCTCAGTTATCCTGTGAGATATTTTCCCCCAGAAGACCCTTGGTAAGAATAAAGTGACTGGCTAACACTCTACAATTTTGTAACTTGTTATACATATTTCAAGGAATACACTGTACTGAAGCAATCGGTACAGAATACATGATGTCAATAAAGTGAAAAGTAAATTTGACCTAGCTAACCAAGGCAACCTTCACACTAATAACTAGTAAACAAGAGTAGCCCAAAATGTCCCTCCAGATGTTAAATACAACTTCTTTATATACAAACATTGTATTAAAAACACTAAGTAACATCATCTGACATGGGCTTTTATATTTTTCCTTTGCCTCTTGATAGAAAAGCAAAGTGAGGGAAAACTGGCTAACCCAGAGAGTAAATGACCATAAATAATGAACATAGAAAATGTCATATAAATAAGATATGCAGTAGCAGTCTATTCCACAGAGTAGGGAAAATTAACCAAGGATGATGCCAAAGTTACAGGCAAATTACCAAATAAGCTGGGAGGATTAACTTATATCAAATGCCAAAAATGCTGGATGTCACAACTTCCATGAATACAGAGCCAAAGGAAACTTCCCAAGTCAGTCTTGAGCACAGCTGTGCAGTGGCAGAGGTCTGATCCATATGTTACAGTACATGTGTGTTCATCTCAGAAACTTAGAGATGCAATCAGCAGTTGTTAAGAATAACCTGGATAAAACACTGTCAGGATGAAGGGATATAATAATGAAAAAAATAAGTAGGACTTTTCTCGAGGCACTAAGAATTCTCATATGGGGAATGTAAGCAGGTTACACAACACAAGGTCGCAAGTGTGGCTCTTTCTGCACTAACAAAGTGCTGTGGAGGGCAGGAAAATTAACCAGTCTAGCAGGTTTCTAAGAAAATTTACATTGCTGCCAAAGAACAGGAGATTGTCCTATAGTCATTTCTCATCTGGGCTCCTAATGTTTATAGACATCCCTTGTAAAATTTCTCCCTTTCTAATGAGTCTTAAGCAATTCACCTTCTGCTTCTCAGCCTGTAGTGTCCAGCGGTCATCTCTTACTCCTTAACTCAAATTGAGCCCTTCTGGGAAGCCAGAAGCTCAGAACACTTCCCACACAAACTTACCTGCAGCCTGGAGTATCCATGGGTTTCCCCCCCCCCTCTCTTCCAGAAATTAATTCCTTCACTTGGAACTTGTTTCAATTGCCGACTCTAGACCATTATCTAGAAGTCTCACAAGCTGACAGTCTCCATACCCCCTGATTGCATTTATGGAGTGTTTTTAGTCATCCTTTAATAATTGTGTGTGCACCAAATTTTAAAAGTCCCACATGCCCATGTCTCTTTCCCAGCATCCTAAGATAATGATTGGTGTGCATTTCTTGACCTCAGTGCACTGCCAAACTCTGTGTCAACAGGACTTCACTCTGTGTCCTATTATTCTACCACTGCTACAGCTCTTGCTCAAATCACCAATGACATCATAGGAATAATCCAGTTCACACAGCTCATCTTGTCTTGACTTCTCTACAATACTTGAGCCAGGGAGCATTTCCTTATTTTATTTTCGTACTTCTTCCCTCCACCCCTAATAATCTTTTTGATTAGAAAATTTCCTCCACCCTGCCCTACCTTTTAAAGTCTAGTCTTTGGCTCTTACTAAATATTAGTGTTCCTAATGTGGTTTTAATGGGAATGGCTCAATAGGCTCCTATGTTTGAATGCTTGGTCCCTAGTTCGTGGAACTGTTTGGGAAGGATTAGAAGATGCGTCCTGACTGGAGGTATGCCATTGGGGATGGGCTGTGAGGTTTCAAAAACCCACACTACTCCAGATGATTCTCTCTCTCTACCTCCTGATGTCAACATGTAAGCTCTCAGCTACTGCTCTAGCACCATGCCTACATGCTGCTATGTTCCCCACAGCAATGGCCATGGCTTCCCCCTCTGTAACTGTAAGCAAGCTCCAACTAAACGATTTTTAAAACACTAATTTACCTTAGTCATGCTCTCTCATCACAGCAACAGAAGCGTAACTAAGACACAGGTGCTTCATGGACAGCAACCTCCTGCCAAGTATTCCTTCCCCCTTACACCAATAGTTTTAACAATCAGCACATTTTCTTACTCAACCAGAACCCGCCTTCCTTCTTAACTGTAGCCTTTAATTAATGATCTGTTGTGCACACAGGGAGAGTTACTACAATCAGTTAAAAATTAAAAATGCCCCAGAATTATATAACACTGTATTTCCCAATCTTCACCTCCCTAAAATATTTTACAATTAGCTACTAGTCAATCAGACTTGGGCTCATAAATCAAGTTAGATTCCTAGCTCTTTCTTTAGCCACAGAGAAATCTTGTTAAGTTAACCTATTCAATAGTTTCTAAATCTGAAGCCTTTTGAATGAATGAAGTACACCCTTACCCCATCCCTTGAACCGTTGCCAGACCTCCAAACTGGCTCCCTGCCTCTGTCTTCCATACTGTTCCATGCCAATGCCGATGCATTTTCCACAGTCCTCAAAATAACTGTTCTAAATGCAAATATGTACTCCTTTGCCCAGTGACACCCCACCACCCTGGTTCTCAAGCCAAATTCTAAGTGCATTAGCATGGGAAACAAATGAGGTCCTCTGCCATCCTTTCCAGCCTCACATCTTGTACTATCATTTCCAAACTAATCTCCCACAATGACCTTCCCTCAACCCCATGAATAGACAAATGTGTTCTTACTAACAGGGCTTAGTACATACTGATTCCCCAGCATAAGGGGGGGCTACACTCTTCTCTGGGCATAGAGTGTGTGGTGTAGTTAAGAGTATATCCACCTTGGAGC